GAAGTGATAAAAAAATGTTGATTCAGTTGATGAAATGAATCCGATAAAAGTCGAACGGAAAAAGAAAGATAAACCTGGAAAAACCTGCGAGAAAAGAAAATATTTTACAAATCTTTTTTTGAATAATTTTCTTTCATCGGAAGTATTCACTGAAAAAGACGAAAGAAAGGGGGAAAAAAACGAATTCTTCGGGAAATTTACAAACATAAAAATGTTAAAACAGTTTGATATTTACTAAGCTTAGCTTAATGAAGCACCAAGTCAATTCAAGAGGAAGATTGTGTTACGCCCATCTTCTAGCGCGGGTGAGGGGTGGGGGGCTTGATTCCATAAATATCAGCAGACGGATATAATTCAGGTTGTCTTGTGAGGAAGACCAATTCTGCTGCCGGCAGCCACACCTCTCGACAGATGCTATCTCTAATCAGTCGCTCTTCTCATGGCAAATGTTCAAATGAGACTTTGTCCTTTTACTTTATCAGCTCAGATCCCATTTCGTACATGCTATACCATCCCACATTTGGGGAGCGTTGGTCGTTACAAAAATGATTTGTAGAAAATGTTATGAAACCATTTCTAACCTTAGGTCTCTGGTTGGGACCCAGAAGAAAATGTGGATAGAATAGAAATCAAAGGAAACAACAGCTACAACAACAACAACAACAATAATAATAATAATAATAATAATAATAATAATAATAATAATCTCAAAAATGTGCCACATTCAGCTATGATTCAGCTATGAAATGAGTTGTGGAGTACGAAATGAAAGACTATTTATGAAAATGTAAAGTTACAAAAGTACTAGCAAGGGGACAAATGGAAGATCTGAAAACACCCCCAAGTTAAAGGAAAATGTTGGGTTACGCAGAGAACATTTAAAAAGGGAAGCAGATTCTTTATTAATAAGGACGTAGGATAATCCTCTAATAAAGAGTTATGTTAAGGCTAAGATAGATTGTTCACTGCACAATATTATGCACTGATGATGAGAGAATGCAGGGTGTTTGGATAGAAGGGAATAAAACAGTGATGATAGGGTGGGAAGTGTACCGACTGAGAACTGTGCAAACATCCAGTCACTGAAATCTGTCAGGTCACTCAAATACAAGCAGATATAAAAGGAATGAATCTTTTTGGACGGCAAGAACAACTCTTCAGTTCGGGAATGTCTGTTACAGCAAATCACAAAATAAAATTAAAAATGCTGATAACAAAAACCTGGAATATATGTACTTTGTGCGGGGATTGAAAAAATTGTGGATTAAAAATTGGTAATTGTACCGATAATCATAGGAGCACTCAGAACAATCCCCAATGACCTTACAAATATGTTAGAATAATTTGAAACCTGAAGAAGAATCAAAAGCATTCAGTGCAAAGAACTAAATAAATAATCTGAAAAAACTGAATGAAGTGGAGGAGAGTCGAGGAAACCTGTTGCCAGTTGATGGCCTGAGAAAATCTTCAGACATATGTGATGTGAAAACTCATTGGGTTGAAAAAGAATTGTAGCAACAACACAAAAGTTGAAGTTGAAAGATGAATTGATTTTGATGAGACAACAGAAATCATTTTGTTTGAGACGGTAAGTGCAGAAGGTGTTGCAGTTTGTGGAATCAATCAACTTTGACCATCACCAGAAAGGTCACGTGTTGATATGAAAGAATAAGAACTGATGAAATGGTTAGCAATTTCAGGAGATCATACTAATCTTAATTATTTTTAAATGTTGTATTAATTGTAATAGCAGTAGTAAAAGGGCGAAGTTGCAAATTTATTTAACATCCGTTTAATTCGAACAGTTTTCAGATAATTTGATTGGATATTTAATTTGATAGAAATTCTATTATTGCTGGGATTTGTATTTAATTTCTGGCAAATAACCAAATGAAATAAAACAAACGAAAACAAACATGGCTGTCACGGCCTAAAAATCTTCAAATTTTTTTATAGAATTTTTCCTTCTTAACGAAGCATTGCAGGAATAGATTATTGTTCGAGGAAAATTACATAATGCAATCAAAACTGATTTCATCAGATATTATTTATGACTAAACTGTAGAGAATCGCAAATCTGTTGCCAAAATTGTTGCCAAACAATTACACCTCGATGAATAAAGTTTAATAATTGCAATAAAAACGGACACATTACATTCAAGCAACAAGAAATAAAAAAAAGCTTCATAGTTACAGTAAAAAAGAATATTTAAGAACAAAAGAAAAAGAAAAACAAAAAAAGCCCCAAATCAAATGGATGAAAAAGCTAAATAGGTTTTCTTCCCTCCCTCGTTAGAATTCTCTCGAGAACAAAAAAATATGGATAGCGAATAAAATAAGAAAAAACTAAAGACAGGATATTAACTGTATAATTACCAAAGATTTATAACGTTCAGACTGAGAACCTAAATTTTCTGTTTACAGAGGGTGGGCTAACTTAGTGAGCTTTCCTTAGTGCCGAGAACATGTCTTGCTTATAAGACTGGGAACACTCATTGTTTTTAACAAATACTCAGCAATCGACGACCCAGACGTATTGTTGCCCCTATGTAAATTATTCAAATGTCCTTTCTGAATATTGGCTGGTGTATATTAATTCTTAATGCTAAGCAATGACCATTTCTTTCTATATAGTCACCGTCATACTGACATTTGAATGGTAAAATACAGAAATAAGATGTATTGAACTTAACATAGCTTGGGCAGTCACAATAAAAGTAGGTAACAAATTAAAATTCTCCATTAAAACAAGAATTTGCTTAGCAAACGTCATACTAACATTATCAATCTAGGTTAACACAGGAATTTCTAGTGGGATATTTAAATTGGGTTTTATAGATTGCGATAGTTTAACACGAATACTAGACTTCGCAGTACCAAAATTTATCCATTTCCACCTAAAATGTTTTTTGATAAAATCAATTTTAATTTTTGAACAGATTAATAAGGTACGATGGAGCAACATCTTAATGTGGTTTATCTTTCTCTGCCTCAGACAGAAAGAATCCCAACGGGTATCTAAAACGGTTACAGCGGTTTATATTACAGGAATGAAAGAAGTAACGAATCCAAAATGTAATAACGAGTCACCCTGACAAAAAAAAAAAAAAAAGAAATCAATAAAGAAATAAAGAAAGACCATTCATTGGTCTCCTTACCACAAGTAAATATTAAATCAGTATTTAATATTTACGGGTCAGTCTCTGGTACTTCTGCTATGTAATTCGAGATTCCTGAAAAAATCCAAAGAAACTGGAACTTTTATCGGTCCTGACCTGGCATCTCGACATTCATCCCCTTCCCTCGGCCGTAACGTATCTTACCTGTACCTTTTCTAGAAATACTTTCATGCCAATTATTCTGATGAACTTTCCTCTTTTGTACTTGTTATTCTTATTGAGGTTATTTTTTTTTAAGTTGTTTCTTTTTACCTTTTCCAGACAAATCCCACATATGGAGACTACTTAGAACTTCATTGCACTATTATGGTGGCTCTAGTAAGAATGGTAAGGAAGAAATTCTTGTTTTAGTCCCAGGAAAATTATTGAAGGTTTCGATCAGTGATTTTGGTATACTAACTTACATTTAAGACAGTTAAACACCCCCCCTTTTGACCTTGTGCTAAATTTCCTGTATTATGCGTCAAAAAATATAGCTTTCCTCTTTGGTACCTAAACTTTACGAATTCATGCGCAGTGTTAGATTGGCAGCTAGGTCTCATCATTTTACAGTTGAAATTGCTAGATGTAACCGTAAATTCTATGCTAACAGTTTCTTCACTCGCTTGTGGAACTCTCTTTCAGCTTTTTGATTTTCAATCAATTTTGATCCTCAAAAAATTAAATGCAGTGTCAATCTGTCTTCTTAATTCCAGTTCTCTTATTTTTCTCTCACCTTACTAATATGTACTTTTTTTAAAAATATTCTTTAAACACACAGTAACCACTTACGTCTTAGTAGTTTTATTGCTTTTCTTGGGGTGAAATGATTAAAAACAATCGCATGGTGCTTGATGAAATATCCTAGCCTCAACCTTGCTATCAATCATACAAATAGTGTCAGCGAGAAACAGCTTGGGTCTTTTAATACCAGCAAGTACACCTTCCTCATCGAATAAAAAAATACATTAGCCATAACCAGACCTAATGGAGTCCAAATAGTTATGCCATTTATTTGCTTATACACATTTTTCAATCTTTGATCAAACCTGTGACGCGAGAGGAATTCATTCCGATTAAACTTTATTTCATATTCCTCCCTTTTTTTTGTTTTCTATTTACTTCTTTAACTACATTAACTATAAACTTCTTTTTTATATTCCTTCCTGTTCTTTGATTTTAATATGGCCGTTTATATTGTAGTTAATAATTTTTTATGACTTTTTAAATATTTGAATAAAGTTTAATTAAAATCAATATTTGGTGTGATGCGTTTATCTTCTATCACTGATTCGTGCCATTGACAAACATTGACTCCACGAGATTTGCTTAAACAGTCCCTTGAAATATTTTTCCCGCTTTGACAAATCCGCCGTTGTTTTTATTTCACTACATTCCACAAATGCTAAATTGGATTAAAATACTGCAACATTCAAGAGAAATGGAATCGAATTCTCCATTTTCTTCAGAAACTTACTTGTTTTTGGCTGGTATTTTGATACGCTAAAATATTTTTTCCTCCTAAGCCTTTCATGGATAGAAACATTTTAAACATTCATAACATCCACAAAGAAATGATTGATTTGTTTTTACGGCTTATCAACCTTTTGCAGATTATTTAAAGCCATAAAATATTTTTGGAGTGTAAGAATTCTTTTAAGATTAGAATGATCTATTGATACACGTCCTACTATTTATCCTATAGTTGTGGGAGAAGAGGCAGATTCATACTTTTCCCAATCTGCATTTGCGCGTAATCGATTATAACGAAACTGACAAGAATTGAAACCCGGGTCTCTGATATCCAATTCAGAGCCATTATCCATTACACCACCCGCACGTTACAGAACCTGGTATTCGCAAGTGGTCAACCACCAAAGTACTGACCAAAATCGACGTTGCTTAATTTCGCTGATCGGAAGTGAACGAGTGTTTCCGCGTGATATGGATGTCAATGAAGATCAACAGTTCCAATAGAGTTCATACAAACCCCAGCCCATGATGTTTCCACCGCCATACCTAACGTTTGGTATCACTTTTTCTTTTACATTTCACTATGAAAACAAAAGAACCCATTGGATTTCATCAAATCCAAATAAATTGATTTTTCTTACATCTGAGCACATCACGCTGTCTTATAAGGTTATCTTTAAAAAAAAAAACAAAACAAAAAAAACAAAACAAAAACAAACAAACCTTATTCTGCGCAACTTTTAAACTGACCTTTAAATGGGCGCGCTTTCCTACGTGATAGCTACCAAATTAAGCCAGTCTTATTTAGGTTAAGGTTGATTATTGGAGTAGAAACATTTACCCATTTTTTGACCTCATTATCAACATCTACAGCTGATTTTCTCATCATCGATTTTCTCATCAACCAATCTTCTGATAAAACGAATCGAACTTGGCACCAGCTTGCATAGTCTACAGTGTCGCGTCTGTTTGTCTTCGGCATTTACATATTTCTTGTGATTTTACTCATTTTTGGTTTCAATATTCTTTTTCATCTTTGTGTAGCGTTTGTTTTCAGATGAGATTATATTCATATTCGTGGTTTCAGATTTTGTTCGTAATTAAAACTTGATAATATCCATTTTGATAGTTCAATGTATCATTTGAAATAAACTCCTGTTATGTTTGGTTTACATGAAAATTGTTACTCTGTAAAAAAGTGTTATGAGTATATTTATTTATGGCTGATAATATGTTTTTTAAAACTTAATACATTACTAACAGTGAATTCTTTCAAAAGTATAATATAGCTCAATGTACGAGGCGCAGTAGAAAAATTCACAGGCTGACTCTGAAGGAGTAATATTAGAGCTGTAAAATCTTGCATTTATTAATTTCAACTCTTCTTATTAACCACTGCATTATTTATTTCCAGTTAAACTGATATCTGACTGTTCAAAGAAGTCTTCAAATGTTACATGTACAGATTTCTCTTGAAAATGGACGGAATTTCACCTTGTGGTGTTTTCAAGTATCTGAAGAAATAGGGTTTATCCCCCAAGAACATTCATGCTGATATGGTTGCTATATTAGTGGATGACACTCCAGTTTTATCAACAGTGCAAAAGTGGACAGTTGAAATTTGGTGGATAGAGGAGAGTCTTAAAGGCTCAATGAGAAAAAAAAAACATTGATCGTGTTCACAGGTCGGTTGACTATAAATCAAATGCTATTAACATAACCCGTGAGATGTTTGGGAATATTATGCACAATATTCTTGGCATGATGAAGGTGAATGCCGCGTCTTCTGACAGCTGATGAAGCGCACACCAGGCTGATCAAGTAACAGAAAAATCTGAAATTGTTTAAGGCAGATCTAGCTGGCATCCTTGAACGTTTCTTAACATAGGATGAGTTTGTGTTGAATCACTTTGAGACAGAGACAGAAAGACAATTTATTCAGTGGAAACATGCCTCCTAATCTGTTCCAGAGAAGGTCAAAGTTGTTTAATTTGTAGGCTGTAACGACCTCAGTTTCATTTTGTGATTCAAAAGGCATTGTGTCACACCATCAATGAAGAATCCTATGCCAATTGCTGAAGCAGTTACGAAAGGCTCCCAAGACCAGATCCAAGCTCACTGATGAAAAGGGTTGTGTTTCGCCAGGGAAATGCTCCAGAAACACAAATCCATGTAAAATGTCACTGCTCTAGAATCATTTCTGCATAGTCAGCTTTTTGAATTTTTCAGTCAACCCTCTTATTTATTTGATAAAAAAGAATAAAGATCCGGAAAGGAAGAACGACATGTGATGTGTTATGTACGTTAAGGATTTCGTCTCATCAATGTTCATCTCTGAGTCAAAAGATTACAACAACATTTCTTTTTTTTTTACATTATTTGCATTCCGACTAATGTCAACAACTTCTTCAGGTGTCTTACTTGATCGTAGTCTCGTGGATTAAAACCTTGATTCATGAATCTGGTGACATAGCAATTCTGAGTTTAATACCTGGGTCGCCTAGTACAGAGCGAACAATAACCGAGCAGCAGAAATACGAGTTATCTCCCGTTGACGTGGGGAGCAGAACGAGAATAATTTGATACCGGAGATTAAATAAAGTGTTCAGGTCGAAAATCTCTCAAGGTTATCTGAATCATCTGAAGAAGGCCGGATGACACAACTGCCGAAACTTTGTGATAACAACAACAATGATGCTTAAACTTCCAATAGTTTTATGAAGTTTAAAGAAACCTTTCCTTATATCATTTAAATATTTTTATTTACCGTAATTCCCTATCTATAGTACGCATTCTTTTTTAAAAAAGTAATAAGAAAAATTAGGAATGCGTATTATGCACAGCTACAAAAAATATTTTAAAAATTATCGTTTCATAGGTCGATTTCAGTTGTGAAATGACTACTCACCACAAACTTACGAAAATTTGACACTAACATTCATCGATTGTGACTCCATAAGGATGTTAAATACAATCATATCTACCTAACAATACTTAAAAATGTAAAATAAAATAAGAATTATCATAAAAATAAATTAGAATAATATTATTCTATGTTTAAAAACATTTTTTAATAAGAGCAGGAAACGCTGGCTGTAATGAAATTGGATATGTACAGTTTATAGGGTCTGATTACCAAACTAGGGGTGCGTATTATGCGTGAGTAGAAGCATTTTCCCACACTTTCTGTACAATTTTAGGGGTGTATATTATGGATGAAGGCGTATTATGTATGAGGAATTACGGTACTTTTAACTTGAAAAACATATTGTATTCATATACAACACGGGAACCAGAAATAAGGAGTGCCAGAGAAAAGCGATAATAACAACAGAAATTGCAATATGAGCTCTGTTAAAAACATGAAATGATAACAGCAAAAATTGAAATATGAGAAATATATATATATACTATTTTTCAGCAGATATTAACATGTTTATCCACAGCTGCACAAACCCATTGATTTTTCAGCCAAAATTTCAAGATTCATTTACGGTGACAAAATTGTAACGGTTTCAATTTATTTAAGATTAAACGTAGAAGCAACAAACTTCAATGACAGTAAGTGATCAGATGTGCAGGCCAGTACATGCGCAGGTTCTTCATTCTCATTGGAAACACATGTGATCTATGTCGGCGTTTTTCGTTTGATTCCATATCTATTTTTCAATAACACTGGTTTAAAAAAATAAAAGTGAAAAATATATTTAAATTAAAAAAACAAAACAAAAAACTTTTACACTTCAAAAATCCACTCTCCAAACGAGCAAAACATTGTATCTTACCATCTAAAGATCTCTTGCAAAGATTACAGGTAAAATGTTTCGGGTTTGTTTTCATCCCTGACAAGCATGCTGAAATATACTTTGTAGGCCTCACGCATTTTAGCAGATGTTGTTATTTCGCTCGTCTTTATACATTCGCCACAGACATAGTAAAATGTATCAATCGGATGCTTACAACTTTTTGATGTCATTTGTGACCAATACAACTATCAACGATCACTTATCTGTGTCACGGTGGAGTAATGGATAGCGGCTTGGATTGAGGAATCGGAGAGCCGAGTTCGAATTCCAGTCGAATCCATTACATTCACTTACGTGCTAATACCCTTGGGAAAGGTGTGAATCCTCTTTCTTCCCCCTCCAGCTATGGGTAAATAGCAGGACAGACTGGGTTCTATAGCCTTGGATGGCAACTGGTCTAGAATTCAAAACCTGCTCTTAGAGGAGGGTGAGGTCTGAACCTTGGTTGGCAATCCATTTAGTGTTGGTCTCACGATAAAAAACACCCTTGATAGCCCTAGCGAAGCATCAAGAATTCAGCTATTGACAAGATTATGAACTCCACCAATCAAAGTATTGGTGAGTTCAATCTCGGCTGAGGCCACAAGATGATGATGATGATCTGTGTCTTTAACAGCTACAAGTAAATTGAATTGTTGAGCTTACTTTCTCTGTATTTATAGTGTCTTCTATATTGCCAGAACGTCCTCGACATTCTTGAAATTTTAGAAACTTCTCGGTAGTTGTGGAAACTCCTAAAAAATTCTAGAAAATTTTCTTTCAACAACTCAGAATGTGTCTGGAATGTAATGGAAAATAGGTTAGTTTGAAAAAATCGAGATACAGTTACTGAATAAAAATAAAAAAGTCAAAACTTTGTTAGGGTAATTTTTCTATGAGAAGCTTAGTATGAAATTGTAAATTGTTAATGGAAGATAATAATCACTCTTTATTCCATAAATTTTAAAAGAATCTCTGGATTTCTATGGAACCCAATATCGAGGTGTGATTGATTTAATCATTTCCCTTAGCGTCTTGCATCATCGGTTATAATGCTAAAGTGTTTTTAGAATTTCCATTAATGATTCCACTGTCTGATTTATTCCGTCATCAAATTGTGCAGAGCTTTGAGCAAATATAAAGATGTTACGGAAGAGTAATGGATAAACATTTTACACAAAAACGATGAAGAGACGCTGGGGAAAAAAAACTTGTTTAAAAAAATGAAGTTTTACTTTTGGTTTAGTGCAGATTATTAACGTTCGAATTACACATCAAAGACTTCTGGATTACGAAGAATATCTTTCTATTATTTAATCAGCTCTGTAAAATCATTTCGGTGTTATGGGCCGTCATTAGTGGCATTTATATTATCAGTTCATGATCATTGTTTCTATGCAGACATGTCTCTATCTCGAGTTCCGCCCGTTTTCATCTTTATCTTCTTCCTTCTCTTTCTATTTATATATATATATATATATATATATATATATATATATATATATATATATATATATCAGTCGTTTTCCACGTTGTATGAATATATCAGCATTTATGATTCGTGAAGAGAATCCATTAGGTCTTAACGAAGATCTTCCCTCATAGAATGGCGCTCCAGAAGAACTGTACCAAATAACAGAAATCGCATCACTTGAAGATTTTAAACAACAGCAGAACTAAAATGGATATCACA